TTTCTATCTCACATATTTCTGACGGGTGTTAAGCAGCATGCATCCCGTTCTATTTGGGGAAAAAATCAAGATTTTTCATTCTCCGTTTATTCTAAAATTCATTCTATGTTAGAGTTCACTCTCAAATTGTGACTGTTTTAAAAGATGTCATTAAATTAACTTCAACGAAGATTTCATTTTTAATTAAGTGCACGACTTAACATTCGATAGCCTTGACATAAAATCACTTCATCAGAAAGGACAAAACAGAAAATTCAGTGTCTAGGGAGCGAGGAGGTGAGGATGACAAGTTTCGTGGCTTGTCAAGGAAAAATGGTCAAGAAGTGCCACTTTCAGAGAAACATCGGGCAGTGTCTCCCACTGGGAATGTGAAAATATTTGAAGTGGGCAGGATTTGACATCCTCAGGTTCTTTCCCCATTTTATAGCTGAGCGAACTGAGGGCAGCTGACTGGGGAGTAGCTGGGCTTGTGTTGGGCTCTGGGAAATGAGATTCCACTGAACCAACGACCCCAAGGTGGACTCGAATTGACTTGCCAGATCTGCTCAGAGCTTCCCTAATTCTTCCGACCTATAGTTCTCTTTTCTGGAAAGTGAGAGAAACAATGCTTGCCTCACAAAGGTGCTCTTACACGTTCACTAAAACGCAGTGCCCAGTACATAGAAGATGCTCGATGCGTTTGCCTTCTCTACATATCTGAGTGGTATCATCTTGATTTTTCTCCCCTCGAGGAAGGGATTTCTGTTTGGAAGATGACAGCTCCAAAGGCATAAATCTCTAATGGTAGAATCCAGGCATGAGCGAGAAACGGTGACAAAAAGAACATCTAGTGTAGGGTTTGGGGGCTGGGTGAAAAAGGCGAAGGGATGAAGAAGGATTAAAAAGGCAAAGGGATGAAGAAGTAGAAATCAATCGTCACCAAATAGTCATGGGGATGCGAAGTACAGCTTAGGGAATACAGTCGATAATATTGCAATAACTATGTATAGTACCAGTGGGGTACTGGATTAATTGATGGATCATCTCGTAAATTATATAAATGTCTAACCACCATGCTGTACACCTGAAACTAATGTAAAATAGCCCTGAATGTCGACTGTAATTGAAAAAAATTTTTAAGGGGAAAGAATGAATAAATATTGGGTAATCAGCACATGCACACACATACACACACACGCACACACACGATACACATTGTTCCATATCAGAAACACCTCTAAGCCCTCCCTGAACATTAGCCCGAATCTTCCTAACGACAGTAGTGAAGAGATGATGCCGGTGGTGATAATGACGATGCTTCAGCAGTTATGTCATCGTTGATAACACTAGAAGGTAGAAACTACTGCGTGACTTCTTCGTTCCAGACGCTATCCTAAGTCGTTTATATGCATAATACATCTGTTCCACGTAACAATCCCATGAGGTATGTAAAATTCTTGCCCTTGGTTTTCAGAAGAGAATCTGAGACACAGAGAGGCCGAGTCACGCAGTTAGCTAGTGACAACTGGGATCCGAGCTAAAGGCCCTGAGAAAATACATTTCTTTAGTCATTTTTCTACTCTGTCAATACGTACGTCTGGGTCCTCTTACTGGAACCTTAACACTTGTAAGGGACTCTCTCACGGCCCTTTAGGGTGTGTCCCCTGTTTTAGCAAAAGCAAATTTTCATAGTTTTTACAGGTCGCCTGTTCAAAATCCGCAGGCAAATTCACACGCGTTGAGATCCCGCCTGTGTTCTGATCTTAAAGAAATGCATTGAAGATCTGTGAACAGTGGACAATTCCTTTATTATGAAAGGCCTTACGACTTTCTTCGAGATTTCTCGTAACTTCAATATCTGCTGGATAGCAAGGTCTCCTAAACTTGAATTCTGGAGCCACTTTTAGTGGATATAAGTTCTCTATGTTTGGTAAAAGAAATCTGTTGCAAACCTGAGCGAGCCTCCCATTGAGTAAGGGAGCAAATAATAATGATTATTGTAAGAAGAGAAACCCTTCTCACTGTAATCAAATCGTTTCCAGGTGCTAAGTGCTTTGCTACGTGATGTGTTCTGTGGAGAACCCCAACATAGGTTTTCATTTTCTTCTCTTGACAAACCTTGACAAAAGAGTTTGAACTGCAAAGGCCCTTCCTTCACAGATGCTAAAACTTAATTTGATCTCATCGGAAAAGTCAAGGACACTTAAGCCAGAAAATGCTGCTTGGACTTGGACCTTCAAAGTTCTCACCTTGTACCTTCCAGAGACTACTAAAAAGAAATAGAATAAAACAAAAGAGAGAAGAACAGTGAAATGATCAAACACGGTTTTCCTATTCTAATATGGTTTATTTTATAGGAAAGTATAGAAAAAGGAAATTGTTTTCTTTCGCCTGCCGAATTTGTTTGTTTATAGATAATTTTAATCGCTCCCGTCCACCAACGATATTTGGAAAATGCGGTTAAGGCCAAAGGAAAAATTAGAAATCACTCACAATCACACTACTAGAAATAAGCACTATTGAAATTTGGATGTATCGACTTCAATATATTATCATATTTACTGGAACATAAGTTGGTAAAATATTTTATTTTTATTTTATTTCAAAGGCTAAATCTAGAGAAATAAATATTTGTTTAAAATTGTGTCTTTCAGATCCTAGCGTTTTAACAGCTACAAGTGAGTAGATCAAAACTCTTTTATTAGAGTTTCTTTTGAAATTTTGCAATAAAATGCAAAGTTGTTGAATACTGTATTTCTTTTCTTTGTAAGAAATCATATTTTTCATGAAAAACTACTATTTTGTGTCCTTGTATATAAGAAAAGTATGTTCCGTGTTTAAAATAGTTAAGAGCAAAAGAGAGCAATTATAGTTTTATTGTAAATTTTGCTGCTAATGTTTTTAGGTGATCAAATATTTCATTATATACACCTTTAGGTGATTTTTTTTTTTTTTGCAAAAATAGTCGTATAGAATCTAATGAAATAGAAGATACCTTTTGTCACCTATAGATGAAATACAAAATTCTCCATATCTATTTATATTCTCATTTTTGTTAATGCCTACATGATATTATAAAGCTACATTTTTATTTTTAAATTCCCCCAGTGATTGCTATTTTTGGATCGATGTCTATCTTTTTTTTTTTACTATTATTAACCACGCTGAAATGAACACCCTTGAATTGAATGTCATTCCAATTAAAACCAGGAGGGTACAGAGGTGTCTTTTGTGATCAGTATTGGGGGTGGGGGCGTGTTCTAACATATGTGATAGTGCAAAAAAATAATAATAATCCATACACTTACAGAAAATTACACAGGCAAAACTATTGAATGATTGTATACTTAAAAACCCCTAGGAACACTAGTAAAGATTATTAGTTTATAAAAGAATACGGCTACGTGGCTGAATATAAGACAGATATACAACAATCAATAGTTGTTCTCTGTATTGGTAAGAACCAATTAGACACCGATGAAAAATGAAGCATTCTACTTTACATCAATGACAAAAAGCACTTTAGAGTTAGATCAGAAAATAAATGTACAGGACATATGTAAAGTAAAGGATACAATCATATGGAAGAACATACATAAAGCGAGTTCTAAAAAATAGAAGGTTACGCCACGTTCTTGGTTGGAAGACGTAGGAATTGTGAAATAAATGTCGGCTTCAAATTTTCTTTTTCAGTAACTAGGGATGCCTTTCCAGAAACCAAAGGTAAGTTGATTATGAAACTTTTACTGTTAAAGTACATTTTGTTTTCATTTTATAAAAATGGGGAAATCGGTGCGCTTTCTTTTTCTGGTAAAAAAAAAATTCTCCTTTCATAAAATGTAATATAAGTACCTTGTAAACAGAAGAAAAATGAGAAATAAAAGTCGCCTTGACCTTTCAACAGCATTAGGTGTTTCTACTCTTGAATTTCTGCCAACCTAATGAAGAATACCTGATTTTAAAATTCATAGGAAAAAAAATAGTAATTAGGGTTACAAATGAAAATAGAGCTGGGGCGGAGAAGCACCTTGAGTTACAAGACATTTAAACAAACCGTAAATGTAGTAATGTAAATAGAGTGGGATCAACCTAGAAATAATCGAATAGTAAGTAATGTTTTCTGATGCGTGAGAGTTCCAGGTCCTGCTTATTTTACCATTGTCTATTTACCTTTCCAATCATTTCAGTAAACTTGATAGAAAATATGGAATGCATCCCAGGATACAGTATTAGAATCTAATACATGATTTTAAATGTACGGGTGGTTTATTTTGTCACCAATCTGTCTTTGTGTAATAGCTACTACTTGGAAGGAAATGAAGTTGCCCTCCCCTCTTGCATCATATGTAAAATTAAATTCCTCTTTAATCAAATTTGAAAGGTAAAAGAAAAATTATTTAATTGAAGAAGAAAATGGAGGGTATGCCCTGAAGATAGGTATGCCCTAAAGACCAAGAAATCTTTTAAAACAAGACAGGAAGCATCTGTTATAAAAGTAAACATTTAAACAGTGTATAAATATTTCATACTGGTGACAATTCAGGTAAAAGAGCACGTTGGTGGGAAAGGTGAATTACTGTCGTCCTTTGAAAAAGCAATACCCATTAATGTGAAAACGTTATATATGCTTTAACATAATAACCTTGCTTTCGAGATCGTATTCCATGAGGACAAATGCTTCAGTACAGAAGAATTTACATACATGGAACGTTTGCTGCAGCTTTATTTAGAGATGGAATAAATCTGAGAAATATTGAAGATATTGTGGCAAAATTCATATCCCAGACTGTGTGACTCAGCCTTAGAAAGAGTTAGAGCTACAGAAATTAAGAGAATATGTTTAAAAGGATTTTTATAACCTATTAAGTTAGAAACTGGAGTTATGGATCGAAAGTATGATTCTTTCTGAGAGGGAGAAAAATCTGTGTATGCATGAGTGTATGTATGCACATTTATATTACGTAAGGCTATGTGGATGCTGTATGGTTGTATGTGTTATATGGTCCATATGCGTTGTACGGATGGAGAAGTACTCTGTCTATATAGATATAGATAAAGATATCCATGTGGGCATGGAGAAAAGTGTGGAAAGATACACACCAAACTATATACACTCGTGTGTGTGTCTGTGTGTGTGTGTGTGTGTGAGTGTGTATGATGGCAGAGAGAGTGGAAAAAAAGAGATACAGCAAGGACTAGATAAAGGCCCACATTTATGCCATGGAAAAAAAGTGAGTCAGGAATAGGAGTATAAAACAAAACCCTCATCGGTAGATGCTACAACAACTCTGTTATCGTGTGACTCAGAACTCTGATTTCAGAGTGTCACCCCCTCTGGGAGGAAAGTCACTTGGTGACTTCTCAACCAACAGTCCCAGAGATGAAGGGAGAATTTTCCTTTTTCTCCAGATGGCAACTGCGTCTTTCCCTTCTACTATAAAGACAGGATTTACTATGACTGCGTCAAGCTCAAGGCCAAGAGCAAGTGGTGCTCGTTGAACAAGACTTTCATAGGATACTGGAAGTACTGCTTGAAAGACGGTGAGTGCCGTGCCCCGGAAGAGCTCGGGGTGGTTGGTGACCTTGGTCATGGGAGGTGAGGTCGGGCGAGCGCCTCGAGAGGGTTCTGTAAATGGGAGACCGTCCGCTGAATTGTGAAAATAAGCTCTGTGCAGGTGTCTGATAGTACAGAAATCACCCTGCACCAAAGACACATGATGAGCCCTTCGCCTAAATGACCTTGAAGAGACGTTTGTTTTAGTAGAATCTCCATCCGCCACCAGCGCTGTTCCACATGCTTTTGGTGGAGTAGAGCAGAGTGGGAAAGGGGTGTGTGTGTGTGTGTGTGTGTGTGTGTGTGTGTGTGTGTGTGTGTGTGTGTGTTGGAGAGGAGGCAGGAAACAGAAAGGCTTCTCACTCTGATGCTTTCTTCTCCGTAGACTTTGCAAAGTGTGCGTTTCCATTCTGGTTCAGACGCCTGATCTACCGGGAATGTACCGAAGATGGGCGTCCGTTTAGGAGAAAATGGTGTTCGCTGACCAAGAATTATAACAAGGACAAGATTTGGAAATATTGCGAATAGTATTGAGAGTTATTGCGGGGAGGGGGCGATGAAGAGGCAGAATCATTCTCAAGGGAAAGAATCTGCAGGTTTTCTTGGGAAAGAGGGAGATAGGACCCTCGTTAAAAGGGTTTGTTTGTTTGTTTGTTTGTTTTCTGAGATATGAGTTGAAGGTGCTCTGGCTGTAAATAACTTAGAGTTTTGATTCTAGGTTATGGGGTTTCGATATAGAAATCTGTATTCTAGCCTCAGCGCTTTTACTTGCTGACTGTGTAAAATTAGGCTTTTAAGAGAAGTTTATGGACGTTGGGTGATAATGAGGTGTCACCGTATGTTCATCGCTTATAACAAATGTCCCGCAGTATTGCGAGGGGTGTCGGTCCTGGAGGAGACTGTGCATGTGGGAGCGGGGCAGGGAGTATATGGGAACTCTGCGTCTTCTGCTCAATTTTGCCGTGAACCTAAAACTGCTCTAAGAAATAAAGTCTATTAAAAATGTATTACCTTAAGTGAAAAAAATTTTTTTTAACAGAAAAAAATATTAGTGACACCGAGGTGGGACCTGAGGTAGGAATATAGGTTAGGGTGAGGAGGTTGCTCAGATATGAACTACATGAGCCAGGGTAATGAGGCTAAAGGGACCCGAATCCAGGGCAATTTGCCTCATGGTGGGTCACAGTTCTCTATGGCATTCAGGACGCGAGCAAGTGTTATGTCTTTACAATCACAGCTTATCGATGTGCTTTTTGACACAGCACTATTAATCGTCATAACAACTCTACGAGGTCAATATCATCGTCGCCATTTTCAGAAACTACGAGTCAGGTGGATTTACTCATCCGCAAAGAGGTAGACGGCTATTAGACTTTCGTGATATAAAAAGGCTCTCAGGGCAAAAGGCCAACCATAGAATTACCACGTGACCCACACATTTCTCTCCTGGGCACGTCCCCGAACAAACTGAAGAGCGGGGCCTTGAACACGTACCTCCGCATCAGCGTCCTTTTTAGCATTATCCGCAACGGCCAACAGAAGAAACGACCCGAGTGTCCGTCAACAGATGGGTGCGGGGACAAAGCGTGGTCCAGACGTAGAACGGAATAGTACGGCTACAAAAAGCAATGACGTCGATACGTCCTAACACGTGGACGAACCCTGAAAACGTTATCCTAAGTGAAATAAGCCAGACGCAAAGGAACGGATATTGGATGACTCCATTTATATGAAAAATGTAGAACAGGCAAATCCATAGAGACAGAAAGTGGACGAGAGGTTACCCATGGCTGAGGGGAGGGGCACAGAGTTTCTTAGGGTGATTAAAAAGGTTTGCGGGTAGATTGTGATGGTCGCCCAACACTGTGAATGTAAGTGATGCCACCGGCCTGTATACTTCAAAATTGTCAAAATGGCAAATGTTATGATATACACATTTGATAGGATGGCATCCATTACGGTATACGATATAATTTTTTAAAATTAGTAAGGTAAACACAGGTACAATGAATCCCCTCAAATCGAATTCCATCTCGGGATGCAGGAAAGGTACCTGTCAGGAACTGGTGCTGTCTGAGTCCCGGGCGAGGTGCTCACACATTCTTAACCACTCTCCACCAGAACGAGTCTCGCTCACCACAGCTTCCATGACCTGGCGCACAGGTTAACGTGGCGTGGCGTGGCCTCCCTCCCCGGGGCACCCCGGAGCAAAGCCTGGGTGATCCTGACAGATCCTCTTATTCCTCCCAGGCCGTTCTTTCCTCTCACTGGCCCTTCCTGTTCTCTCCCTGACAACTGCGAAAACACACAGAATGCCTCCCCTGAGAGTGACCTTGACCTTCAGAAATCGGTGACCTGATTTTCTCGATATCTGTGAAATGGCCCCTTGCAGTGGCTGATATTTCACTTAGGGCTGTTCTCCCGTGGTCGGAAAGCCACAGACTGAAGACTTCTCCCCTACACCAGCAGATCTCGTAGAAAAAAAAAAGTAAATAAAACTCTTTACTTATTGAAGATCTACTATATGTTATGTAGCGTAACCGCTGGATTACACGAACGGTCTCACTGAACCCTCGCGGGGACCTTGCTGGTTTGCTTTATCCGCCCCTTTTGAGGAAGAAGAAATCAAGCCTCAGAAGAAATCAAATTCAGGGACCAGTCCAAGGCCCTGTAACGCTCCTTAGGGATCTCCTGTGACCTTCTTTCTTGCTGCCATCTCTTCCAGAGTGTCCTGAGAGGCTGCCCCTGCTCCTTTCGCTTGCTTGGTCCTTCCCCGTCACTGTCCCTTATAGAGAAAACAGATATTTCAAAATTTAAAAGTGACAGACCTTGATTTCTTTCCAGATCATCAGCTGTGCAGATACTTCCCCATAACAGGTCTGTTTACTGTTTGCAAATTTTCAGGAGACTCTTTTGAGATAAGCCTAGGAGGTTTTTTAGGTTTGGTTTCGGTTTTATCGATTTCTATTTAAGAATTCAGGATCTTGAGAAAAGATAAAAATCCTTCCACAAATGCAGTTTGCCTCCAAAGGTCAAACAAACAAACAAACAAACAAACAAAAATCGGCCGAGTAATCTGTGACACATGTAGCAAATCTGAGGCCATTTAGGCATGTCACAAATATGCCATATGGCCCACATGCCAGGTCCTCCTTGCCTTCAGCCATGTATGAGAGCTTAACTGGACCGTTTCAGCATCACCATCAACGGTGCCTAAAACTGGCTCTCGGCTCTCCAGAACCATAAATACTAGTTTCTCGTGAAATACGTA